CTCCTCGCCGCAACATCTGCATTAAATTATTTATGCAAATGCCCTTCGGAGGAAAATTGAAATGCCAGCAGTCCGAAGGAAACGGCCGCGCCGATATTATATAAATTTTTTGTTTGCACTCGCCTTTCTCTAAAATTCATATTCAAATCGTATCAGCAGCACAGACTAAAACTGACCATCTGCCAGCACGAGTTATTATGTTGAGAGAAAAAACAAAAAGGCATAAATGATGCTTCGGAGGCGCACCTGCCGGCTCACATTTTTCTACGCTTTCCTCCGCCGGCCGCGTGCCCGCGTCGCGGCAAAAAACGATCTACTTTTTGTGATTGCTGACCCTTTCTTTCCTCCTCAGACAAATTGGCCGACGCAAAGGGTTGAGAAGAATTTGTTATTAATCATGTCGAGTGCGGTTTCGGTTGTAGGTGGTCCCCCGAATTAAATCATCCCTGATATCAATTCAGAAAATTTGGACCCGACAAGCACTATCATCATTTGTACGCCGTGAAATTATACGCAGGTGCTCACCAATAATTAGGACCGAAAGAGAGCAGGACCGCTGCGTATATAAAGACATTACTCTAAAGACAATGGGGTTATAAAATGAATAAAATGTGCACGCAGGTCCAAATTTATGTCTCAAATGGAGCACCAAATGAGCTTAAGTAATTGGACGGCTGCTCCTAGATTTGAATAAAATAATATCAAATGACCTGAACCTTTAAAGAAAACACAGTTTGTGACTAAAAACCGTGTTTTCAAGTTATTTGCTCTACAAATATACAAGTTAAGAAAAAAGTCCTTAATTTTTTAATTTAAATTAATCTTTTAAATTCTCATTGTACAAAAAATAAATGATTTTGATTTTTAATCATATCCATGATTCCTTGCTAACTTTCTATTTTATTATTCTTGTTCGAGCTACACACAAAAGAAAAATACAAATAGTGAAACAAAAGAAATATTTGTGTCAAACATGCCTCTTGATTTTTAGTTTTCTCTTTCACTTACAGTCGTTTTGAAAGGTTTTTTTTTAATTAAATAAAAGCAAAAATTGTTCAAACTTCGTGTCACATTAATAATAAAATATTAAAGCGCTCATTAAAAAAAATTACCCCTTTTTTTATTCTTTTACAAGATTTTAGATTCAGATTTGCTGTCATTTTTAATTGTTAATTTTAATAAGTGACCATTTATTATTTACCCGCACAATTCCATATAAGATATTATTTATAAAAATTTTCAAATTCCCTAGAATCATCATAAAACACTCACGAAAAGGCCAATATGCTTTTAACATTTTCTCACACATGAGCATCACTTGTAAGCAAGAATTAACTTGTTATCTAATTCTAACGATGCCTGTTAGCATTTCCACGATTCAAAAGCTTTTTCACGTTTTCCCATTCTACTTTGTTTTGATTTATAACCCCCTATCAGACAATGCCTCTCACTAAAATCGCACGTTTGTTGTTGAAATAAAACATTACAATTCTCACATGAACTCATGATGTTCATTTTGGAATGTCATTATTTCGCAACGGACAAATATGCTTTTGAACGCGTCAGACGCGTCAAAATGGTTAAAAGTTTCGCGGAAAATTCTGTTCACTTCCGCTACGGAGAACTATTGGACCAATTGCTGATGATTTTTAACAATCCGAGAGCACACCAACCGCAGAAATTCAAAAATAATACGCAATTACAAATTTCTATAACTAAAACACGGATTTTTAGTCTCACTGCCGAATGAAAATAATTGGTAAGGTTAGAAAATTAAAATGAGCTAATTTTTCACGCGCGGTAGCGAGAAAATAAATTCTGCGTTCATTTGTTTGTGTTGAGGTCGTGTCCGCGTGTGTAAATCATGACACGATGATCGCTCTGCCAACAACAAAACAATATTATTTCAGCCTCCGTAATTATTTCGGCACGCAGGTATTTTTATTGCCGAGTGGCTGCGGGGCCGGTCATGATTTACCTTGAAAAGAGCGACTGGAAATCGGATGCAGCGCGGCCGACGCTCTTCGGAAATAATCGCAAATGGGCAGCGAAACACGCCGCGCGCGTTTCACACCAGCGGCTCTCGCCGCTCCCAATTTTCCACAAACGTGAAATTGATTTTCGAAAAATCCAATTAATGGCGAAGTTTTCAGGAAAATCCTGCCTGCGCAGTACTGTGTTTTTATGAAATTAATAACCCATAATTTTCTCCGCTCCACTTTTTCTAAATTATTGGAGGCGAGAGCTCGCTGAAAATTGCAAAGTTAATTCAATTTCCTGTCGAGTGCGCCTATATTTTATTGCCTTCACGCTTTTGTTGCGGAACTTTGTCGCCTTTCATCAGCCGTTTGGGAATTTCGTGATTCATGACCGCGTTTTAATTTTCAAACATATACTCGGAGCGTGTCCAATGCTTGCTTGCGCGGTAAAACTGACTATGTAATTCTATAAAATTAAAAAGGTAAAAAACAAAAGAAGCAAAGAAGCAGGTGTTTCCCCTTTTGCGTATTCACGTGAATTTTGTCTGGAAGTTTATCCTTTGAAGTAATTAAAACAGATGATAAAAATCTCAAATTTTTGTAAGATTGAGGAAGCAGACAAAACTAACTTGCAACTTTACTGAACTTTTTCTTAATGAATAGAATTAATTTAAACTATAGTTTTTTTTATCCTTTTAGATATCTGGAAAAAATAGTGAACAAACTCTTGATGAACAAATTATACAAATTTTACCAGCCTTTTTGAGATAAAATTGCCTTTCCATTTCGTTTCTATCATTTATCAAATAATTTCTGAAAATTAGGAAGCAAAGAAAATTCTTTAGAGAACTTCTTATTACTTGATTGGAAAAAAATTTCTCTTGGAATATCATTCATTTTTATTCAGATAAAAAAACTAAAATATTTTATTTAAGAACGGGGAAGGAAATCTCGGATTCCGAGTGTTTATTTGTGATTTGCAATTAGTTCCGCTCTTTTTTGAATCAGTGTGACTGCGCGGCCGAGTTTATTTTTTATTACACAGAGGAATTTTTGACATTTTGCCGGGTCGACGGTTGATTTATGGAGTGTTAAAACGCAATCAGTGGCTGAGCGGTTGGAATCCGGCGACTCCTAATTAGGGCCTATAAAAGGCGGTCAGGTGCAGTCAGCAGGAGGTATAAATATGATTTTACAATTCGATCTCGGCGCGATAATGGGTAACTCCGCGAGGCAGGCGAACACCCGGCCGAGGTGGCGCGGCCGGAAGCCGAGAGAAGCTGCCTTGGTGTCGTCGCGCGAGCAAATGCTCAATGATAGAATAAATTAAGGAGTGATTTATGCAAATCGCAACCCTCGGATTAGGGTGATTGAGAAAGATACCCAGATTTGTGCAAGGAATTAAATTAGCATTTGTTGAGATTTATTTGATAATAGTAGATTGACAAAGAAATTTTGAAACGATTTATTTATAAAAATATTTTAAATTAAATTAAATCATTTTTCTATCTCTTTATAATATAAAACTGCCTTTAACTTGAGAGGGAGACGAGATGTGCGTCGTTAGCATAAATTATTCCGCGTCTCAAATGTGTTGGGAGACAAAAAGTTAGCAAACGCACTTTTTGCCGAAATAATAAACGAGGCCCAATAGGTTTTGCACCCACCAGAGGATGGATGCACGGGTATAATGTGTATAATAAAAGAGTGTGGACCGGCCACGAAAAGGCTGCAGGCGAAACCGGTTTCCAGCACTTTGGGATCGTGTGGTTTTGATGGGTGTTGGGTATGCGCGCGGGGTAGCCAAAATTCGATCAGCGGCTCGATAATTCCCGCTGCTGCCTCTGATGCTGAGTGATTGTTGTCACATTAGGCCCAAATTGCTGCCGAGATAAAATAGATAAAGGAACTGATCTCGGCGGTTTTCGTTCCGAGAGTGCATTTCCACGAGCATAATAAAAATAAATGTGCGCTCTTGCCTTGATCTCCTCCTTACAAATGGGACTTGTTTGAAGCTGAAATTTATTATGAGACTCATAAGCATTTGATGTGTAATCATAATTTTCAATTGGAATATTTTCACGATTTGGTTAAAACACGTTTGCTTAATCTTTGTTTTAAATATAAGCAGTGTTATAATAGTCAATCAGCACAAATACATTGCTTTCCCTCGTTATGATGATAAAATTGTTATAACTCATTTATGGAGGAGAGTTTCAGGCAGAGAACACAATTTATATATCAATAAAAATAAATTTAAAGCTAAAAAAAATAAATAATGTAAAATATTTATTAAATAATTTAATATAAAAATAAATAAAATAATATTAATATACAATTTTTAACGTTTGCTAAACAATACACACAAATAAGTAAAATTAATAAAAAATAATCAAAATTAAATATTTAAATTTTATTGATTTTGTTGTTGTTTACTAAAACAATCAACTATACAAAGATGTATACTAATTAAGAACTAATTTTTTTAAAGTAATACAATATTATTATTATTTTATTTTTCCATAACGTTAATTTAAGACAAACTTGAAATCGAAATTGCTGGGCTTCTCAAAAAGATTTTATTGTGTACCAATTGATTGAGTGTTTTATATTTTACTATTATATTAAGTAAGTTGCAAATTAATTTTACTGAAATATAACTGGGCATTCTCTGTCCAAATTCGTCATCAATAAATAAAGTGATGTAAAAATTATTTTTAGTAATAAGAGAAAATTAATTTAAATTAATTATTTTTAAACTTCAGATCTCATCATAAGTTAGAATAGTAAAAATTGCTCCTAATAAGTTAAACTTTTTAAATTTCCACTACATTTTTTAATTTTTTTTTTTATCTCAAATAAAAAATTCAGATTATTTTAAAATGCATTTATATGAATATTTGAATAAAAACGAATGGCTGTTTCTGAGCTACAATCAAGCCACTTTGGCTCCGAGTGTCTGACTTGAGTGCTGGTTGAAATGAAAAAGGACAAAGGGAGCGTCCGTCAAAAGGTACTCACCGGCCGCCGAGGTGCAGGAGAGGGATGAAAGGGGTGGCGGGTCCATCTTCCAGACGATGTTGGTGGCCGCTGTGGGGCTGGTGGCGACGGACGTGGCTGCGGCAACCGGCGCGGTGCAGCAGCTGTTGGTCGATTCGGCGGACACGAGCATCATTCCACGGACATAGCACTCACCGAGCAGCAGCGATGCTCACAGCGGCCAGGCATGCTCTGATCGAAAGCTCACTCACTGCCCACTGGGTACCGAGCGAGGGCCGCGCCGAGCGAGGGGCATTGGTTCCCGGTGAGCAGCCACTGGGTGCCCGCCAGCCGCGCGCCGCCGCCAATCGACGCCGTTCGCCGCCGCCGGAAAGGCGGAACGGAGGCGGGCGCACTCGCAGGCCCGACCTTAATTACGGCCATGCCTGGTGTCGCCGCCGCGTAACCCGAGCCGGTGCTCAAAGTGCGCGGCTCACGCAGCCACCCCAACCTCTGCTTGTCCCAAGCGCTGACGCCATTATTCCTGTTTGTCTTTCGCACTGACATCTTTCTTGCACAAAACTGCCGCCGAATTTTTTATATTATTTACAATCTCCGAGATCCACTTGGCACCTCCGGCGCGTCCATCTGTGAGACGATAATGAGCCCCTGGCAAAAGCACCCACTCTTTCGTCCGATAAAATTTTGTGCCACCTACGTGGTGACGTTCGTCTTCCTGCTTGGACTGCTAAATAATTTTTGAAAGAGATCGAATATCAAAAATTTCGAGCCAAAAGATTTGATTTGATATTTCACCCTCTAACCTACAATTTTTGGGGAAGCCCTGAAAACCGAGTCCATCCATTGAAATTTATCGCCCAATTGTATTCGATCACAAATATTTTTCATGATTTTCTGGCATTTAACAATTTGAACATTTTTATTTAGAAAAAAAATCGGCCTTATAATTTAATACTCTTATTACTGATTCAATTTTCAATTTGCAGTTGATTTGCCTGAAGATGAAAGGGGAAACTATTAATTGCTAATTATAATTTATACGCCTGATGTATTTCGCTTTCGTATCTTTGAAACCGGTCGAATCTGTCAACCCATTCACAGCTATGCAACCGGTGCGACACGTGCGTTGCACTTATTGCATAATGCATATTTATTTTGACACTTAATTTTTCAGAATGTCTCCTTTATAACACTGGAACGACATATAAACTATTATACATACAAAAAAAACTTTGATCCTAATACAAATTTCAGCTAACTGAAGTGCTTGAATTGTCTCTGCTATATTAAGCAACTATTATCAACTCATTAAGTAGCTATTTTTTTTTTTAGATTTAAGAACATGTGGTAATTTATTTTCCCGATTAATCTAAAATAAGAATCGCACATAATTAGTACTCCTGCAAAATGCAAAACTAAGTACATGTATATCAGCCCACTTATATAATGGCTATAATATGTATGTACTACATAATGCCGAAGTTTTTCTTATTCCAAATTTCAAACTTTAATTTCAATGAAAACCTGATATGGCTTCATTCTTTATTTCTTTATAACCATGGCAATGGGGCTCTTAATGTTTTTGGGCAATTTTTTTCATGACTGAGCATTGATTTAGGGACAATATAATATAAAAAATATAATATTTAAGTTTTAAAACATCACATGTATGTATTAAAAAATAATAATATAACGTTTATGTGTATTTATTGTGTTGATCATTCTTATGTAAACACCATTGGCTACAATTTATATTTTATTGGAGGAAATCAAACTACATTTAAAAATAATACAAATTTTACTCAAAATTTTATTACAAAAAAGATATTATATAAATAAAATTAAATTATTTAAGCACAATATTTCTGAATTTTTTTTGCAGTTTATTAATTAAAATAATAAAATTATTTAATTTGTATAAATACTACAAGAAAAATATTATTTGCATGCATTTTAATAAAAAAAAATGTATAACATTAGCAAATTTTACTGATAATTATTACAATATAATCATAGGCCTAAATAGCTACCAGGCGTAAACCGTGAAAATAAATAAATAGCACTTTTATATCAATTCATCCTGTGGCCCTAAAGCGTATCATTTAAATGTAATTAACGATGATTGATGATATCTGCAATGCTTTGTCTTTCCAACCTGTTAAAAGATGTTCCCTATCTGAAGATCAAATTTAATATTTATTATCACTTTCTTTAACAGCGGCGGCGGCGCAGGTAGCAGCAGCGTATATTATTTAACGTGAGTATATACGCAGCTGTTACGCGCTGCTGATGGAAAAAGTTTTATTGCTTTCAGCTTGTTGTTTAATGAGCGTATTGTGTTTTACAGAGCTGATAATAAATATTAACAAAACACCCAGCACCCTGATTTTCGTGATGCCAATAAAAGTGCCGGGCATGTACAAAGATTCTATACCGACGAGCCACGCTGAGTGAGTTTTACAAAAGGAAAATCTTGGTGCAATTCATTTTGATGCTGAGGAGAAAACACGCTTCTTCTTTTGAACTGGAGCGAATTTCTGCAAACATAAATTGCACTTGCTTAACAAGAAAGAAAGAAAGAATCAGCTGTTATCTTTGTGTGGAAATGAGAATTTTTATTGTGTGCCTCTTAATTAGAAATCCAATCATTATTTTTTTACTTTTTAAGCCAGAACGCATGTTGCTGAAAGAAAAGCCGATGTACTACACTCAAGGTTCATAATATTTAGGGTATCGCTGCATCAGAGAGGCTCATACCACCACTTTTGCAACCCAACACTTCTTTGAAAAGTGCGAGCCAAAATGAAACTTGATCAACAAGTTCGAAATTTAATTACCGCTGTTTACAGCGTACATACATCTCGCATTACATTAATTAATTTATTTCGTAGTGGCAACGCCAGATCTGGATCATAAAAAGCGAACATGTAATAAAAATAAATGGGAAATAAAGTCATATCGTCATACATGTCAAATCATATTTATCATATTTCAAATAATATGAATGACTGTTGTGTACATCATGTTGCAAAGGTGTATTACTCCGAGGAAAATAATTTTTCTTTTTATTTAAATCCGATCAAAATAAGAGAGCGCTATTTAATCCTTTGTATTAATTTATTTACTATCAAATAAAAAAAGCATCGATAAATTTACACAACAAAGTTTCTACCATCAGGATTGTTGTTCCGTAAAAGCTATTTTATTTTTCTAATTTTTTTTGTGCTGTTTAAAATGAAAAGGGATGTTTTTCGGGGGCATTTTATAAAACTATTTATAAAATACGATCAGTGATTTCCCTTAAATCTGGCAGAGGAAGAACCACAACAGCAACTATTTTAGAACCTCTATAGAAGCATACATGCATAATTTTTCTATTTGGTGTCAATGATGTTGAAAAAATAGCTTTTCTTCAAATTGGTTTTATAAAGCTTTTGCAACTTTCAAATTTTTAACAAACTCGGTAAAATGCAGGATTGATTAACAAAGCAAAACCCCCTCGCCCACGGACGGATTTAATTGCTTTTGGGGCCTGGCACTGCATTAGCAAATTAGCCGCACACTGGCCTGGCATTCGCTCTCAAGCGAAAGCACACAACAATTTGCATAATGAGCGGCTGCACGATTTGCACCGAGAAAAGGCAGCGCGCACGCGAAGGGGCGAACAGGACATGCACAAACCACTGTCAGGGTGAGTCCCATTGCTCCTCCACCCTTGCCTAGAAGAAAAGTCACGCCCCGAACTTTCACGCAATCCCCTTGGCCAAATTGCTTTTTATGCCCCGAATTGATATTATTATTTTTGTTTTGGCAGTTTTTTCGGCGGCACATGCACCACACTCGAAAAATCGTAATCTGGTCGCGCGGGTGCCTTGTTGTTTGGCCGCTGCCCTCAAATTAGGTATGCAAATGAGGCGTTCACGTGCGGTGAATTATGGCCGGCCGTCACACAAAATAATAATTTCCAGATAAGCCTTTCCTAACGCATTATTTTGACTCTCCGCGCGTATATAATTTTTTGTTTCGGCTTCAGCCAAGAATGGATTGGGCAGGTGCTCCGAATTGAGCGCCTTTTCCTCTTCGCGCTTTCATGATATTCTTTCTTCGAGAGCACGAATAAATCAAGCCGTTATCTCATTGTTTTTGGGGGTGGTCTTCGGTGGACTGGTGAGCAATAAATTTGATTTAATTTGCGCGGAAAACACAGTTGCTTTGTGGATTTTCGCTAATTTATGGTCAGCTGTGTGTCGATCAGTGTGCGTGCATCAAAAAGACGGGCAGTAAATCTCGAGGAAATAAATTTATTGCTAGGAATTTGTTAAAAAATATAATGCATTGATAAATTACTTTATACAAATAATGTTACTAAAAGGCTTATACAAATTTATATTAAATTATATTTGTGTTACAATGGATATGAAATAAGATGTATTTTTTTTTATTATATTACAATTTATGTTAATCTATTTATTTGAAATTGACTATTTATTTCAATTAATTTAATTAAAAACAACATTAAATTTAGTAATCATGCATTTCTACGATTATTATTGTAAATATTGATATTGATCGATATTACAAAAAAAAATTAAATATTTTTGTTTGCTCAAAAGATAGTGGGAACATATGTGTATCAAATTAAAATTTTACTATCAATCTCGTTTCAATCACGAGCTTCCTTATACTTATTATTGAACTTATTCGTTTAAAATTTTTTAATTATAGAAAAATTGGATGGTAATTATAGAAATGGTGGACATATATAAAGGAACCACTGCTAGCAAAGACTCTACCTAGTTTACATTTTACATTTTAGACTTTCCAAAAACTTCCTAGAAAAATTGGACCCCAACCGCCGCAGTCGTCAATTAATTGGCGTTTAGTAAGAAAAAAAATGAAAGGTGGAAAAATGAAGTTTGCTAGATTGTACATTTGCTCAATCTAGAATTAGCTAAATATTTTATGCACTGTAAAAAAGTCATAAATCTAATTATAAAAAGTCGAAATAACCTAGAAGAGGAAGCGCCTAAAATTTACAAATAAATATAAATATATATTTAAATATATGTGCAATTTGTGAAAAAGAAGAATTTTAAATTGAGCGATAATTTGCAGTAACATAATAATTCAAAAATTACGAAGACAAAAACAAAAGGCTTTCCTCGGGTATAATAAAACTGTCAGTCAACGAGGAGAATCAACGGTGGCGGTGTGTGGCAGCAGTTGTTGCGAGAG